AGAAACGTATAACCATTGCCATACCCATACCTCAAGGGAAGAAGTGGTTACTCAAATCAGGAATGAGAAAGGATGAGGAGAAAAGCTGTCTGGAGAGAAGCAGTGACCTTGGCCTTCAGGGGTGGGGAGGAAGACAGCCAGGCCAGGAAACCCCGCAGGGAGTAAACTGCAAGAATAAATACAGCTGCCTTTTGCTTCTCTGGCTGCTCTGATTTCTGCTCAGGATCCCCACCGGCTGAACCACCAAAACAACCAAAAGGCAAGGAGCCCACTGATGTAGTTTATGGAGGGCAACCCCCTGGAGCATGGTGGCGAAGGGAGAGAGGGGCAAAGGGAACATATTCAGCATATCCATCAACAGAATCATAAAATATATAATCATCCAGTGGAATGTTGCAAGCAAAAGAGCAAAAACTTCATGTTGGTTAAAAAAGACAAGTTGCGTTAAAATACAGTCCTCCCTAGATATCCTCAAGGGATTGGTTCCAGGACCCCGAGGGATACCAAAACCCGTGAATGCTCAAGTCCCTTACATAAAATGGCACAGTATCTGCATATGACCTACACATATCCTACCAAATACTTTAAATCATCTCTAGATTACTTATAATACTTAATACAACATGTTTATAGTTATAAACATTTATTTAGTTTTTAAATGTGTATTAAACATGTATTAGTTTTTAAATGTGTATCATTTTTATTGCCATATTGTTACTTTTTATTGTTTTTTCCCCAAATATTTTCGGTCTTCTGTTGGGTGAATTTGCGGATGCACAACTGGTAGATACAGAAGGCCAAATGTACATAGGGAATGGCATAATAGCAGATTGTACTTTCTCAAATCCACCACTGCTGTATGGCTCCCACATGTCTTCCTGACCTTGCCACTCCTCCACCAAGAGTTGCAAAGAAGGAAAATAAGGTTTGGCTGGGCGGGTGCCTCACACCTGTAATCCCAATACTTTGGGAGACCCAGGCAGATCGACCACCTAAGGTCAGGAGTTCGAGACCAGCCTGTCCAACATGGCAAAACCTCATCGCTACTAAAAATACAAAAATTAGCCAGGCATGGTGGTGCGTGCCTATAGTCCCAGCTGCTCGGAAGGCTGAGGCAGGAGAATCGCTTGAACCTTGGAAGGCAGAGGTTGCAGTGAGCGTAGATCCTGCCACTGCACTCCAGCCTGGGCCACAGAGCAAGACTCTGCCATAAATAAATAAATAAAGTTTTACCATAGAATTACAGGAGAAACCTAAGGTAGCAGATAAAGTCTCTGAGGAAGTGAATAAACTTTACAATGAGGTCAACAACCCTGCTAAAGCAGTAGCAAAGAGCAAGCCCCAAGACCCTCAGGGAAAGAAAGGCCTTGGCCTTTTTAAATGCAATTCAAACAACGGCAACAAAACCTGTTTCAGAATTGGGCAAGGGAGAGAATGACAAGTCTGAAGGCAGGTGGACACAAGCCTGATCACGTAGGGCATTTAGGGTGACTTTGCTGGTGACTACCCTGGGGGTATAAAACGGTGAGGGTATGGGAGGCAATCTGGCTCTAGGCAGCAAAAAGCCACAAGAGGGGAATCAAGGAACCAGAAACAAACCTCACTCTCAACTTAGCATCTAGCATGCGTCTGACACTAATCTAAATAATGTAAATTATTTAGACTATTAGATAATCTAAATCCAAAATCCTAGCACTTTACCTCGACTCCCGACTGTCGTCCCTCTCTACTGCACTGACGGGGCACTGTTACCATTTCGGTGAATGACTTATGGTAAATGACCGTAATTATAGGATACAGAATACATAACGGTGAACAACCTTAATAAAACTGACGGCGTCTAACATGCACCGAGCGCTTATCCAACAACATCCAAAAGCATTCCCGTTTTACAGATGTAGAAGCTCAGACCAAGATGCTGAGGATGGTAGGGGACTGGGAAACTCGGTCTCGCTGCAGAGCCCAAGCTATCATTAACTACGCTTTGCTGCCTTCCTCTTACTTGCCTTCTCTGGGGGAAGTCATATCAAGGCCAGTGAGGCTCCTAGACTATATCACTCTCTCGGACTCGCCTCTAAATTGCACGCCTGGAATCCCTAAGTGCAGGCGTTGATGCAGCAATGGCGGCCCCCAGACCCTGGTGCAGCCGCGGATGGTGTCCGACTGACGGCGCGCACACGTGAACAAAAGGTTCCCCCGGCGGAAGGTTCTGCAGCCCAGAGTCCCCTCCCTGGGTGAGGGGCGGGCAGTACCTGCAGGAAACGCGTCCAGGGTCCTGCTCCGGGCTCTGTGGAAAACACCCCCCGCCTCTGCAGTTGACATGGTGATCAACTTTCCGGGCTTCACTCACAACACTGCGTGGGTGGGAGCCGCGCGACTTCACACAGGCCAACGGCTAGATCTGCCACGCTTTGGGCAGCGCCCTTTGCTCTCGGGGCGGAACCGGGGAGGGACCGGGTGGGGCCTGCCGCTCGGGGTGCCGCTAGTGCTGCCTGGGCGGGGCGGAGGCGCGAGCTGCCCCTCAGGGATCGACCTGCGGGCCTGGCGAGTGGAGACCTAGGGTCGAGGGCACACGTGGGCGGGGGCCAGGCTCTGGGGTCAGTCCTTCCTTAAAGGCAGAGTTACTGGATTTAGCAAGTAAAACTGCAGGACTCCCAGTTAAATTCGAATTTCAGATTTTTTTTTTTTTAAAAGATTGACTTAATATATGTCCCATGCAATATTTGGGAGCTACTTATGTTATTTTTTTTCATTATCTGAAATTCCTATTGAACTGGGCGTCCTAATTTTTTTAAATTTTTCTCTTTTTGCAGGTTTGAATGGAAGCGTCCTGATTTTTTTTTTTTAATCGACAACTCTACCGTAAGGTCAGAAGGAGCCGCTGGGGTGGCTCACACCTTTAACCCCAGCTCTATGGGAGGCCGAGGAGGAAGGATCGTTTGAGTCCAGGTGTGGGAGACCAGCCTGAGCAACACAGCGAGAGACCTTGTCTCTACAAAAAATAAAAAAAGATAAGAAGGTGACTTACGTATTATACATTGCAGTGGATGTCTTGGAGGACTGTATCAGCTGCCACCATCTTTCTATTATTATCTTTGCTTGGCTATGCACTAGGCAGGGCGCTAAGCACTTTGCATGCGGCTAACTGAATCCCCACTACAGCCCTAGGAGGTGGTGCCGTTATTAGCTGCATACGTCGTTTAGGGAAACTGACGCTCAGAGAGATGAAGGGACTTGCACGAGGTGACACACATCTACAGTGGTGGTAAAGCTTCAAGTAACCAAATTAGGATATCTCCAGCTCAAGAGCCATTGTACTGAACTACTCAGCTAGCATTTGTCCAAAGTTGAAAATATAAATTCCAGAATGGACCCATTGAATCCAAATCTCTATGAAAATGATCTGTGTTTTGTCGTTTTGTTTTGTTTTGTTGAGACAGGGTCTTGCTCTGGTTGTGTAGGCTAGAGTGCAGTGGCACTGTCTCTGCAGTCTTGACCTCCTGGGCTCAGCTGATTCTCCTACCTCAGCCTCCCAAGTGGCTAACGCTACTGCCAGGCACCACCACCCCTGGTTAATATTTTGTATTTTTAGTAGAGATGAGTTTCACTATGTTGTCAGGGTGGTCTGGAACCCCTGAGCTGAAGCAATCTGCCCACCTGGGCCTCCCAGAGTGCTAGGATTACAGGCATGAGCCACTGTGCCTGGCCTGAAAATGATCTGTTTTTAGCAAGCACTGCAGGGGAGCTCTTATGATCTTACAAATTTGGGAAATTCTTTTCTAAAGTAGCTGCCTACATCCAACAACTACCATTCTCTAATCCTTGACAAGAGTCACCCATGAATCATAGTGGTTAAGAGTATAAATGCCTATGAGTCCTTAAATCAGTCAACTTGGGTTCATCCTGGTTCTACCCACTTGCTGGTTATATGCTCTTGAAAATTGCATAGCTTCTCTATGTCTCAGTTTCCCTGTCTGTGAAATGGGAACAATAGTAGCATCTAGGTCATAGAATTGCTGAGAGTCTTAAGTAAGTTCATGTATCAAAGTGCTTGGAATAATACTTCTAATAACAAATGGTAGGTACTCAATGAATATTAGCCATTGTTGTTATTAATTACGATATCCTATTCCCTGAATATGGCCTGGCCCAGAGGAAGAGTGCCAAGAAATGTGAAGGAGGCTGGGCGTGGTGGCTCTCGCCTGTAATCCTCCACTTTGGGAGGCCAAGGCAGGCAGATCACTAGGTCAAGAAATCAAGACCATCCTGGCCAACGTGGTGAAACCCCATCTCTACTAAAAATACAAAAATTAGCCGGGCATGGTGGCGTGTGCCTGTAGTTCCAGCTACTCAGGAGGCTGAGGCAGGAGAATCACTTGAACCTGGGAGGTGAAGGTTGCAGTGAGCTAAGATTGCGCCACTGCACTGCAGCCTGGCAACAGAGCAAGACTCTGTCTCAAAAAAAAAAAGAAAAGAAAAAGAAATGTGAAGGAGAAGCTGGCACGATGGCTCATGCCTGAAATCCCAACACTTTGGGATTAGGCAGGAGGATTACTTGAGCTCAAGAGTTCGAGACCAGCCTGAGCAACATAGTGAGAGCTCATCTCTATTATATTAAAAAAAAAAAAAAAGAAGGCCAGGCGCTCTGGCTCACACCTGTAATCCCAGGACTTTGGGAGGCCAAGGCGGGTGGATCACAAGGTCAAGAAATCAAGACCATTCTGGCCATGGTGAAACGCTGTCTCTACTAAAAATACAAAAATTAGCCGGGAGTGGTGACATGCGCTTGTGGTCCCAGCCACTCGGGAGGCTAAGGCGGAAGTATCGCTTGAATCCAGGAGGCAGAGGTGGCAGTGAGCCAAGATTACACCACTGCACTCCAGCCTGGCGACAGAGCAAGATTCTGTCTCAAAAAAAAAAAAAAAAGAAAGAAATGTGTAGGAGAGAATGAATGATAGAAACAAAAGTCCTAATGGTGGCCTCAAAGCCCTGCCTCTTATCCACTAGTTTTGCGGCCATACTGGCCATTCAGTTCATTAAACATGCAAATTCACTTCCCTTGCTGCATATGTAGTTCCTTCTGCTTAAAATGCCTCTTCCCCTGCTGAGCTAACTCGCATTTGAACCTGAAGGCCTGTACTTAAATAAGACTTCTATGGAGAGGCCATACCCTACTCATTTGTATTCTTAGCTGATCTAAAGTAGGCCTCCCTCATTCTTTGTTAAAGCACTCTGTTTTTGTCCCTTATTGCACTTTGCACCGTTGATAATTGTATTTTTGGAGGTGTAATTATTTATTAAATGTTGACTTTCCCAACTCATGTATAAGGTCTATGAGGTTGGTTACCTTTTTAAAAAATGTATTTTGGCTGGGCACTGTAGCTCACACCTGTAACCCCAGCACTTCAGGAAGCCAAGGCAGGCAGATTATTTGAGGTCAGGAGACCAAGACCAGCCTGGCCAACATAGTGAAATCCTGTCTTTCCTGAAAATATAAAAATTAGTCAGGCATTGGTGCATGCCTGTAATTCCAGCTACTTGGGAGGCTGAGACAGGATAATCACTTGAACCTGGGAGGCGGAGGTTGCAGTGAGCCAAGATTGTGCCACTGCACTCTACCCTGGGTGACAAAGTAAGAGTCCACCTCAAAAAAAATTATATCTTTTTTTATAGAGATAGTGTCTCACTTTGTTACCCAGGCTGGTCCTGAACTCAAGTGATCTTCCTGCCTCAGCTTCCCAAAGCGTTAGGATTACAGGCATGAGCCACCATGCCCAGCCAAGTGTGGTTACCTTGACTGTCTAGCTCACCAAGCAAGATGCCTGAGGCATAAACACTAAATGGCTGTTGCATTAATAAATGGATTATGAATATCTTGACAAGATAACCCTATTCCAAACCTCAGCAGCAGTTGGGAATAGCTCTATTGGCCGATCTGGAGCAACTTCAAAACTGCACCAGTGCATTGGGTGATAGCAGCAGCTGCAATTGTGAAAGGAAAATAAATACTGGTACCCCAAAGTCACTAAGCCAAAGGAAGAGGTCAAGCTGGGAACTGCTTAGGGCAAACCTGCCTCCCCTTTTTTTTTTTTTTTTTTTGAGATGGAGTCGCGCTCCCTCTGTCACCCAGGCTGGAGTGCAGTAGTGCAGTCTTGGCTCACTGCAACCTTTGCCTCCTGGGTTCAAGTGATTCTCTTGCCTCAGCCTCCCCAGTAGTTGGGATTACAGGTGTACACCACCGTGCCCAGATAATGTTTTGTATTTTTAGTAGAGACAGGATTTCTCCATGTTTGCCAGGCTGATCTTGACCAACCAACCTCTGGTGATCTGCCTGCCTTGGCCTCCCAAAGTGCTAGGATTATAAGCATGAGCCACTGCAACCAGCCACCTGCCTCCCATTGTATTCCTAAAAAAGTTAGCTACCAAGGCTGGGTGCAGTGGCTCACACCTGTTATCCCAGCACTTTGGGAGGCCGATGCAGGCAGATCACTTGAACAAGGTAGCATGTGCCTATAATTCCAGCTACTTGGGAGGCTGAGGCAGAAGAATCACCTGAACTCGGGAGGCTGAGGTTGCAGTGAGCCAAGACCGCACCACTGCACTCCAGACTAGACGACAGAGCAAGAACCTGTCTCAAAAAAAAAAAAAAAAAAAATTGGTTCTGACCATGAGACACTCCTGGAGTCTGTGAATCAGCTGTGATTCTGGGGGCCTGCCTGATTCACAAATCATTCATTGCTCAATTAAGCTACTTTGAATTTAATTTGGCTCAAGTTTTTATCACACAACTAAATTCTGTCATCACCTAGTTCCAGGAACCTCTTAGCCCCATGTCTGCCTCCTCCTTCCCCTCATCACTACGCAGGCCAGTGGTTCCCACCTCCTCTGACTGTATTCTTTCAGCTCATACACACTTCTTTTCACTTGTCTGCTTGTGAGCACCTGACAGTTTCTTCCGGCCTGCAGCACAAACGCAATTCACGGATACCATGGCATTGCAGTAAAGAAAGAGTTTAATTGACAGGCTGACCATGCCACACAGGCGATGGAGTTATTACTTAAATCAATCTCTCTGAGAGTTTGGGGACTAGGGTTGTTCAAAGGTAGCTTGAGGGAAGGGCTGGAGTTGGCTAGGTAATGGGTGCTCGCTGCTGATTGTTTATGGCTGTAATCACAGGGGTCTGGGAAATGGTCCTCCTGCAGGCTGAGTTGCTTCTGGGTGGTGCCTCAGGAGCAACTGGCGGGTCCAGGTGGAGCCATGCATCCTCAGCCATGCAAAAAACCTGAAAAGATATCTTAAAAGGCCAATCTTGGCCGGGTGTGGTGGCACACGCTTGTAATCCCAGCACTTTGGAAGGCCAAGGTGGGCGGATCACGAGGTCAAGAGAACGAGACCATCCTGAGCAACATAGCGAAACCTGGTCTCCACTAAAATACAAAAATTAGCTGGGCATGGTGGCACGCACCTGTAGTCCCAGCTACTTGGGAGGCTGAGGCAGGAGAGCTGCTTGAACCCAGGAGGCAGAGGTTGCAGTGAGCCGAGATCATGCCACTGCACTCTAGCCTGGCGCCTGGAGACGGAACAAGACTCTGCCTCAAAAAAAAAAAAAAGAAAAGAAAAGAAAAGAAAAAAAGAAAGTCAACTTTAGCTTCTGCAATCCTGATGTTATCTGCAGAAGTAACTGGAGAAATGCGTATCATGCTACCTCCAGAATAGGGCTAGCAATCATTTATGTCTATACTTTAGCACAATTCAGCTCCTCCCTTCCTCCTAGCCTGGTGGTCTCACATTAGCTTTTACAAAGGCGGTTGAATTTGGGGGAAGGGCTATTATCATTTCAACTATAAATTAAATGTGTCCCAAAGTTAGCTTGGCCTAAGTCCAGGAATAAATAAGGGCAACTTGAAGGCCAAAGGCAAGATAGGGGTTGGCCAGGTCAGATCTCCTTCAGTGCCATAATTTTCTCACTGTTACAAGTTTGGCAAAGGCGGTTTCATTCCTGGAGGCTGAGAGGAGACACACAGGCAACATGAGAAGCGTGTATTCCTTGAATACAGTGTTTACTCTTTGGGTGCACCGAAATCTCAGAAATCACCATTAAAGAACCTACTCATTCTGGGTGTGATGGCTATAATCCCAGTACTTTGGGAAGCTGAGATGGGTAAAATACCTGAGGTCAGGATTTTAAGATCTGCCTGGCTAGCATGGTGAAACTCTGTCTCTACTAAAAATACAAAAATCAGCCAGGCATGGTGGCATGCGCCTGTAATCCCAACTACCTGGGAGGCTGAGGCAGGAGAATTGCTTGAACCTGGGAGGTGATGGTTGCAGTGAGCAGAGATCACACCATTGCACTCCAGCCTGGGTGACAGAGCAAGACTCCATC